TGAGGGATAATTTTATTATAATTAATTTTATTTTATTTTTTTATTATTTTTATAAAATTAATAATTTTAATAATAAAAAATAAAAGTATCTTAAAAAATACACTTATTTGTTTGTAAACATGTCCTTATTACTTATTTAATGTTAAACAACAACCGCTAACTATTTTATAGCCAAACAGTTATATTTATTGAATCCGCTATTTACCATCCACTACCCACTTTCCGTTATCCGCCATCCGCTAACCGCCACCCGCTACCACTATCCACTATCCACTATCCGTTACCTGCTATTCGCTATCCGCTGAATTTTAACCGCTGTACCAAACAGGCCCTTAACCCCTTCATCTTACCTTCCCATATCTCCTATGATTGTCAACCCCATCTTCATGTTTTGACCATTTTATTTTGTTATGTAGTTTTGGTTTACTCTTTAAGTGCCTGTGCAGTTCTGCATCTTATGGTCATGTGAGACTTATTGTCTTTTCTTGTAATCTAAAGAGTAATAAGCAGGGTAGAGTCAGCATTTCTTCTTACTTTCTGTCTCTTCTATGTTCCTTTATTTCTCTAGAAAGTCAAATGTGACAATTTTGTGAATTATTTGAGGTTCGATGACATTTTGGTAGATTGAAATTATGGTCTTTCAGTAATTTGTAATTTCATGTAAATTTGTAGGGTTACACACCACTAGAAAACAAAATACATGGAAATTGATGACGTTAAATTAATGATTAAACCCTCAAACTTATAAGATTGCAACCTTTAAGTCCTTAAATTAAGAATTTTGAGTAATTAAAAGTTTGAGCAATTAGGCTTGAATTTTGGATGGCATTGTGATGATTGAAATTTGAAATACATGGTACTCTAATAGGCTAATAGGTTGGTATTTTTTATTTTAATTTGAAATTTTATCACTTTAATCTAACTTCAAATTCTGCAAGATCTTGACCATCTCCTATATTATGGAAAATTAAGTATATAAAATTATAGATGAACTTGCCTTTGAAAATGTGCTATGCATGCTAAAAATTAGGCATTATTAGGAGTTGAAAAAGATGGGATTGATGAAGTGTACTTAGGTGGTTATGAATATTGAAGAGTTGCTTTCAATTAGCAATAGCCAATCAAGATTCATTTTGTGTAAGTTACAGGGGAATTTGATAGGAACAAGTGAAATTTTACATTGCTATAATACAGGAACATGAATCTTCCACATTTCTTCTTTTAAAAACTCAAAACATTACAAACACCTCACTTAAAGAGGTGGAAATTGCTAGTTTCTATTAATTAGGGATGGCAATGGCGTGAGGCAGGAGTAGGGAATGGCTTATCATATCACCCTTGTCCTCCCTGCCCTGCAGCAGATGTAGTTTGATTATTCTCATCTCTGCTCTGCTTTGAAACATCAAAAACTTTACCTGCCTTGCTTCTCTTTATGTAAAAAATACAATTTTTCTATTTTTTGTTGTCAACTACACTCAACTCTTTAATTTTTATAATATATGACTTGTCTTTTACATAATTAATTAGTGCAATTATTATAGATATGTTAAATGCAAATCAAGTTCAATAAAGAAGCTAACAAAAATATAAAGTTTCAAGTTAATCAATTATCTCTTATACAATAATCAAAATAGATTTAAAATATATTTTGTTGGTTAAGAATGGAGCAAGCAACAAAATAACAAGGTACCTCAAAGTACACTTCTGGACAGCTTGGTAGGAATCCAATGGGCATGTTAAGTTGGCCATCCTTACTTTTGATGCTATTTCAAAGTTGGTTGCATTCTTGCATTATATTAAAAATCTCCTTTTAGACTTCTCTTTGTGATTATGGTGCTGGGAATTCTTAGTTTGAAGCTGTTGTGTTGTTGGTTGAACTAGATTAAAAATCTCATTAAAACCTTACATGAATGATTTCTGTTACTAAGAAATTATTTTCTTTTTTTCTATTTCTCTGCTTGCTGTTCTTTGATACTTTCTTTATTTTTGTGCCTCACCTCTTTGGAGGAGTCATCTGTTTTTATTTCATCTTCTTTATTAAATTTAAATTTCCTATTTGAGGAGAGGGAAATGAATTGCTTCTGGAATAGTGCTTGGATAATGCAGCTTTAAAAGCATTTTATACAGACAACTGGTAGATTGTTTCAAGTCTGTAAATCTGATTGCAGGATTTCAGTATAGGAAGGAGAATTACGCTTGCTTTTCAGACTCTTGGAGTTGTCTTTGGCGATGTTGGAACAAGTCCACTGTATACCTTCAGTGTGATGTTTAGCAAGGCACCTATTAATGGAAATGAAGATGTTCTTGGAGCACTATCACTGGTACTTTACACCTTAATCTTGATCCCCTTAGTTAAGTACGTGCTCATTGTTCTTTGGGCAAATGATGATGGAGAAGGTATGCTGATCCCCAAGTCTGGCCTCTTACTTTTCATTATCTTTTCTGCATGTCATACATGTATGCAGTCATGTTTTACACTTTATATACATCAAATGCATGTAACATTTCAACTGTTTTCTGGAATTTTCCCTGCAGGTGGTACTTTTGCATTGTACTCCTTGATTTGTCGGCACGCTAAGGTCAGTCTTCTTCCAAATCAACTACCGTCAGATGCCCGCATATCAAGCTTTAGGTTAAAGGTTCCATCACCTGAACTTGAGAGATCACTAAAAATCAAGGAAAGACTTGAGACCTCGGTGACTCTGAAGAAGCTTCTTCTGATACTGGTTCTTGTTGGCACTTCTATGGTAATAGCTGATGGAGTTGTTACGCCAGCAATGTCAGGTTTTCTTCTATATATTTTTCTTGCTTTTTTGGTAATTTACAGATATATTGACCCTAGTAAGTTATTCATTTAAACTTATTGAATTATTCACTTATCCATTTGCTTCTGCAGTAACATCTGCTGTTGGTGGTCTAAAGGTTGGAGTGTCCACAATTAAACATGGTAAATATCTTCCTTTCAACTTTTCAAATTATCATTTCTTTGATTGTCCCTTTTTTCTTTACATTTCATTGGTATTCTTTCTACTCTACTGGATTGGATAATGTTGGGGTTGACATATGGTAAAATGAACTTTACTTTTCTCTGTTAATTAAATAAACATAAAAAAAATTGGTTTCCTGGTCCTTGCCCCCAAGGCATGTGTCTCCTTGGTGGGACAGGGTTTGAAATTAGGTTAGGCATTACAATTTTTCTGTCCTTGTTAGGATTTCAGGGATGATGCTGTCATTTTGTAGAAACAGTCATCAAGTGCCTGAATATGGGGACATCATGGGTTTTCCTTTAAGTATTTGATGGAGGCAATGAGCCCTGCCTATTAAATTCTTAAGTTGAAAATAACAAGAATAAGGTTTTGGTTTGTGGATTGATCTGTATGGAGACAACACTGGGTCCTTTAAAATAACTGAATGCCCTACAGAAAATGTGAAGAACTAGTGTTGGACACGCTAATCATAAGTCCATCTAATAAGGTTTTGGCTTGTGGATTGATCAGATATTCCTAATACATATATATGTTAAGATTTGTCTTAGATCATATGTTCTGTGTGGATGCATCATAGGACTGGTCCTGTGCACTGGAGATCTTTACTTTTTGCTTCCCATTTCTTGTCCCTTTTTCATTTGCTCTATACATTTGACTTCCCTTGTGATTAGCCATATTGTTGAGGTCAACTTGCCATTTTGTTGAGTTAACTATTCTTTTGTTTTCTTTTACTTTTCTTAATGTGCAGAGCAAGTGGTGATGATATCAATTACCTTCCTTGTAATTTTGTTCAGTGTACAGAAGTTTGGAACAAGTAAAGTGGGACTTGCTGTAGGCCCTGCACTGTTTATATGGTTTTGTTCTCTTGCTGGTATTGGGATTTACAACCTGGTTAAATATGACACCAGTGTCTTGAAGGCTTTTAATCCTATTCACATGTATTTATTCTTCAAAAGGAACTCAGTTAAGGCTTGGTATTCGCTTGGGGGTTGTCTTCTATGTGCAACAGGTATATATATTACTTTCTGACTTAATATTTCAAGGAGCATGATTTCATTTTTTGCCTTTTGAATATAGATACCTGACAAGTCAATGGTTACTTTGATTTTTCTTATCCCTCTTTTTCTTTTTTGTTTTTACATTGACTTTCTAATCCTGGCTTGCTTCTCTGTCTAAATTAGTTGCATTATCTGTGCATTTTGGTAGGCTTCTAACTTGATATTTTGCATGATTACTATTAAATTTATTGGCATTATTATTTTTCTTTAACTTTTTATAACAAAAAAAATACTTTCTTTTTTAATATATATATAAAAAAAACTGTTTTGCAGTCCGGACTGTACCAGACTGCAAAACATGGACTTTTGGATGAAGGGCATGCCCCCTGATATTGGGGCCTTCCCCCATCCAAAGGTCTAGACCGCAAAACAGCAGACTATATATATATATATGGTTATCCAAAATTTTAGTCCTACTAATCCCACGAAAACTATCCACGGGTGGTGGGTGTGACCCATTGGACTTGTTTGCGCCCAAATGATGTTGGAGCAATTCAAGCCTGCATTTTTCAGTAATGTTCACACCTCACTACTTGAGTCAACCACTATGGAATTTATAGCAGAAGATATCTAGATAGTTTAATATCAGAATATTGGTGGATGGTTAGCTTTGGCACTACAGGTGATGATCCATACAGTTTTAGGGTTCTATGTTGTAAGTGCTATCTTCTTGGTTGCCAATAATTGTCTGAGGTTTTTTCTTTTGTAGTGCAATGGGTGTTTGTGATAAATCCTGTCTCTTATACATTAAAAATGAAAAAATGCTATAAAATTTTATTGAGGTTAAGGTATAGGAGGAAGAGAGAAGACTGAAGAGTTGCTGATAATGAGTAAAAGAATAATGATTGGGTTGCATAACAATTGCATAACATCTTGTAGAAAGGCCTGATAGTGTTATCTTGTAAAATAAGTTGTGTTTTTGTATAAATAAATGGATGCTTACACAAGGAGTTTGGTGGCCTGAAGCAACTGACTTTGAAAAAAATTTATTGTATTTTATATAACATTTTAAACATCAATCTATAAGTTCCTTTCTCTGGTTTACTTTATGGTTCAAGGGTGTACTTAACATAAAGTATCATTGTAATTTGTAAGTTATGCACAGTGCAAAGGTTGAAGTTTTTTTTTTTTTTAATTTTCCCTCTACTTCCTTGAAGGTAAGAATCGTTGGTAGAGACAGAATAATGCAATCTAAGCAGTTAAGGGGTATTACAAAAAGGAAAACCGAAAAGTGTTCTTATTGCCTGCTTGATCCTGTGTATGGAAGGGCTTGTCTACTCCAGCAGGAGAAATCAAGCTAAACATAGTTTTCTTAAAATTGCTTCATGCTTTTTTAGAAGCTATTTCAGCTTTATCTACATATCTGTAGCTTCTGGAATAAATCTTTTGATGATAAACTTCTGAGTTTGTTGAATTTTATCCATTTCTAAAACCTTTGCAGTTGAGAAATAGATGTAGAAAGAATCATTAGCATGAACCTTTGTAGCTAAACCTTTCTGAAGTGGAATTTTTCATTTGCTGGCTGCTGTATTTAATTCTGAGAGAAAGCAGTTATTTCCTTGTGAAAAAGTAACTTTTAAGGGATTAAGAGAGAATGATGTGTGATATTATTAAAATTTTGGTTTTAGGGGTATTTGCTTCTAACATCTTGATAATAGAGATTGGGTTATGAGGTACAATCTCCTCCAGGGTTTTAGAGTTGTATTATTGTATAGATTGGAGTTGGATTCTTTGAAATCCTCTTAGATTTGCAGTTTAAGATGCAAGATGTTGGCAATGGCTTGTTTTCTTATTTGGGCTTCATTAATTTTTTGGTTTTATTTGTTAAATCTGTTATTAAGGTTCTTATAGGAGATTAGGGAAGATCGATTCCATGGATTTTATAATCCATCCTTCCTCCTTACCAAAAGCAGCGTGGGGAAGGATTTTATGGAAGTGGACAAAATTAAGGAAGAGATTTGCATGAATTCATTGCCTGCTCTAATATTTTAGAGATGAAGATTTATAGAATGTTAACTTAACACATTGTTGTGGAAGTTACTTCAATGACCATCAAAGAAACTTCTTTGCATGACAGAGGAAACACTTATATATGTCTGATGTTTAAGGAAAGAAAACCTCGAGACAACATTTTTTTTTTCTCTTTTTTGATCTGCAAAACTTAAGACAACATAGTCATGCATGATAATTTAACCTTTGATCTTCTAACTATTGCATTTTGAAAGAAGGATATTTCAACCAAAACACCCTCAATGGTTGAAGGTGGTCTCCTAGAGTTGCATAATAACATCTTTATTTTCTTGTTCTTTGTCCTATAAGGTCCTTAAAAGTTTCACTTCGAGTTATCTGACATTATCCAATCAGTGCTTAATGCATTACCATTGATGAACTAGTGTATCTGGAACTTGTGTTTAGTAAACAACTCATCTATGTCTAAGCTAATGAGGATTTTCTCCTTAAACAAAATTTTGGAGAAAACTTTAAATAGAATTTTATTAAACTAAGGGTCACGTCTGAAATCTGAATCTTACTATTTCTAATAATGGATTTCAGGGTCTGAAGCAATGTTTGCAGATCTTTGCTACTTTCCTGTACGATCAGTTCAGGTAATGGAGGTTAATTGGTTGATTTACCAAATGTTTTACATGACTCTTATACAGTGAAGATAAATTATTAGTTTTATTCCGTTTGACTTTTTTTTTTTTTTTAATTTATGTGATAGTGTTTGATTGCAGCTTACATTTGTGTTTCTCGTTTTGCCTTGCCTTTTATTGGGTTATTTGGGTCAAGCTGCATACCTTATGGAAAATCATAGTAGTGCTGCTCAGGTCTTCTTTTCTTCAATTCCAAGTAAGCTTCATATTTTCTCTCAAACAGTTAAAGTTTATCATACAGTTGAAAAAATATATCCTACTTTCCATTTTGCTGTGTTATTCATATTCTTCCTAAATGAGAAAGTTCATTGTTTTTGATGTGTGCAGGTGGTGCTTTTTGGCCTGTTTTTCTAATTGCTAATGTTGCTGCATTAATTGCTAGTCGTGCAATGACAACAGCTACATTTTCATGCATAAAACAATCAACTGCTCTTGGTTGTTTCCCTCGTCTCAAAATCATACATACTTCGCGAAAATTCATGGGTCAGATTTATATTCCTGTCATTAACTGGTTTTTGCTGGTTGTTTGTGTGATCTTCGTCTGCTCAATTTCAAGCATCAATGAGATTGGAAATGCATATGGTAATACATCCTCCTAGTTATTTTTATTTTTATTTTTTATTGTTGCTCTTCTCTCTTCCTTTTCTCTTTCATTGTATGTCCTTGATGAAGTATTGATGACACCTGACTCATAAACCTAGGTCTAATTGTGCTTGTAAAACAAAGGATTTTTTGTAGCATGTAGCTGGTGATGTAAAATTGTTTGATTCAGGAACCACATGCTTGAAACAATGTCACTGGAAATAAGGGAACCATAGAATGTGGCCAATATTAGTTGCACCTGCTGGCTCCTCCTTGCTTTGTTCTTTTCCTTGCACTGCTTTTTCTTTATGATTATGGTTTCTCCATTATGGAATGCTTTCCATTATACTTTCTGATTGTAGTTTGATTTGATCGAAATTTGGCTCTTGGATTCTTGTTCCACTGCAATTTGACTCTCTGAAGTGTGACAATTAGGAATGCAAGTGATTTACTGCATGTAAAATCATTAACATGTCTGGAAATTCACTATGGATCTCTAAATGGAAATAAGCTTATTTAAAGACATATTAATAAAATAGACTAGTTTCCATTGCTGCATAAACAGAAGATTGAGTTTATTGCTGGACTATCTAAAGTGTGGATCTGTGTTCATATTGTTTTTGTGTGTTGTTTGACAAACTTATTTATTGCAGATATTGAGGATACATTTTAATTTTGTATTAAAATCTTGACTTGTCTTGCGGACAATTGTTATTGTGTCTAGACCTTGTTAAGCCAAGTTGAAAAGGCAATTTATATATTTCTATCATAGTTACTGGGTGGATATGCATGGTCTATGTCTGTGTATTTGATAGATAGACAAACTGCTGTTTGTTATAAATCTGTCTTTCATTTCATATAAAGTTGCAGGGTTCATCCTTTTTTAATCTCTTTTCTGCGGGGTCATAACAGGGTAAGAATTACTATTTAGTTATAAACCCTATTATGCTGCCTGATTGATAGTTCATGTGAACAAGTTGTTCAAATATGACAAGAAACAGTGTACAAGATCTTAGTAAATGCAAATATTGCAAATTCTATCATGCATTGGGATCATTGATTCATCACAACTTTTCTTTCTCTGCATGAAAATGAAGGACAACTTTTCAAATATGTGATCAATCAGATAGATTTGGTTGTAGTTGCAAATTATCATTGCTATTTCTTTTTTTGGTCCAATTGAAGGTGCAACAATGATGTAACCTATGTATGGCAGTGGCTTGTCAGTGATTCTTATTGGATTTTAGAATATCCAACATTTCTATTCCTTAGCACAGATTTAGGTTTTGCATGGTATTGGATTTAGTTGACATGAAAACTTGGTGGGAATTGATTCACTAAGTTGCAGGGAAATGGAACCTAGAGGTTTGAAATGATATAGTTTAATTGAAATAGATCTAATGATTTCTTCTCTCTTTTTGAGATCTTCTGTTCTGTTTCCTTGGCATTCGTGTTTGTAGGGCATTTTTCTCTTTCTAATTCTGATTCTCTTTAATAGGTATTGCGGAGCTTGGAGTGATGATGATGACCACGGTTTTAGTAACCATTGTTATGCTTCTTATATGGCAGATAAACATTATAATCGTGCTGAGTTTTGTGATCATTTTCCTCGGGATTGAATTGACCTTTTTCTCATCTGTTTTATGGAGCATTGCAGACGGAAGTTGGATAATATTGGTTTTTGCTGTGATAATGTTTCTAATAATGTACATATGGAATTATGGGAGCAAGCTTAAGTATGAAACTGAAGTAAAGCAAAAGCTGTCAATGGATTTGATGCGGGAATTGGGCTGCAATCTTGGGACAATCAGGGCTCCTGGCATTGGCTTACTTTATAATGAGCTGGTGAAGGGAGTCCCAGCCATTTTTGGCCATTTTCTAACCACTCTTCCAGCTATACACTCAATGATCATATTTGTGAGCATAAAGTATGTTCCAATTCCTGTGGTGCCGCAGAGTGAAAGGTTCCTCTTCAGGCGTGTCTGCCCTAAAAGTTACCACCTATTTCGATGCATTGCTAGGTCAGATGTTCAGTTTTTGTGTTAGAGCATGGAATTTTAAATTTAGATTCACAAGTTTCCTGTCAGCAACGTTTTTAATTCTTTTTTCTTCTAGATTTTTTACTCCCTGTTTATTTATTATTTTTGTTTAAACAATGCTGAATGAGTGTCTTACCACTGAGGATTAGGAGAATGACTGTCTTATTGCTGAGGATTAGGAGAGGAGACAGTTGCAACTGTGTTTTTATTGATCTGAGTCTGAGACCTCACGAAGTTTGATTTAACGACTTGAACAGGTATGGTTACAAGGATATCCGAAAGGAAAATCACCAAGCTTTTGAGCAGCTGCTGATTGAAAGTCTTGAGAAGTTCATTCGTCGGGAAGCCCAGGAGCGTTCACTGGAAAGTGATGGGGATGAGGACACAGATTCTGAGGATACCTCTTTTTCAAGGGTACTCATAGCTCCCAATGGAAGTGTCTACTCATTAGGTGTGCCTCTACTGTCTGAGTTTAGGGACACAACTATACCTATTTCAGAAGCAAGCACCTCAGGGGAGGTGAAGCCGATGCAGTCCTCAGATCCAACATTACCTGATGCAGAGCAGAGTCTTGAGAGGGAACTATCTTTCATACGCAAGGCTAAAGAATCAGGGGTTGTTTATCTTCTTGGTCATGGAGATATTAGAGCAAGAAAGGATTCCTGGTTCATTAAAAAACTAGTCATAAATTACTTTTATGCTTTCCTGAGAAAGAATTGCAGGAGGGGTATTGCAAACTTGAGTGTACCCCACTCACATCTTATGCAGGTTGGCATGACTTACATGGTTTGATGTGATGACTTTACTTCCACAACAAGATACATCGCTATTACTCAAAATAGGAAAGGACTTGATACTGGAGAAAGTTCAAAACAACTATTCTTAGCATTCTCCACTTTGATGGAAGTTTCACCAATGATTACACTATTGCTTGCACCATTCGCTTGATTACCGCTGGCTATTAGAATCTGCAGCAACATGAAAATCTCTGAAGTTTTGTAATTTTTCTTTTTTCAACTTTTTATAGTTGGCTTTCTGCATTGATTATCGTTTCAATGTTTGGTTATTGTCACTTTTCACTTTTGCCAGTAGGTTGATATATTTATCTAGTCTTGTAACTAGGGCTGAGCATGGTACGGTACGGTTACCATATTGCTCTCAAATTATGGTAACCGTTTTAAGTGGTAATGAAAAAAATTTACCACTTCTATATACTAATTGATGATTTTTTGGTAATGGTTGCCAATCGTTTTTAACGATAATGAAACTTACCTTACCAATATCATCTCGTATTATCATCTTTAAACTTATTTTTTCCATTATCAATTAATTCTAAGTCATTAAAAATTCAATTTTAAAAGCTCAAAATTATCTTAAAAACTTATTTTTTCTGTTCGTTCTTCATCATCTAGAAGCATACAAATATATAATTATACAAGATATGCACACATCAAAAAAAGAAAAAGGAAAAAAAAAGGAACTAGCAACCATTGAAAACTGTATAGAATAAAAAATAAAAAAAAAAGAGAGGAAAAAGTGAGAAAGGTTTCCAATCTTTCTCTCCTTGGAGCCCTTTCCCTCCAATTCTGACCATCATCACCATCCACATTGTCATCGTCACCACCATCGTCATCATTGACCATTACCTCTAGTTTTGATCTCCATCTCGAACAGTTGTAGGTTTCTTTATCCATCTCACTCCATCGTCAAAAATCCATCTCCAGATTTGCTTGTCTCTGCCTCGTAGCAGTTGCAGGCCATAGATCTTTGGGTTTTTGAGGAGTGGAGAAAATAGAGAATTTTTCTCTCTAACGGAAGAGAAAAAAGTAGAGGAAGAAAGTTGGGTAGGGTTAATGAGATATTACTATTTATATTGCTTGGCAAAATTACAAAAATTACCACCGTTTTAGGAAAAAAAATCATTAAAAATATTCTAAAGTTGAAAAAAAAAAAAGTTTTGGACTAGCAGTAAATTCGGTAATTTGGAAGCCCATATGGTAAATATAATAATGACCTCTAATACCGATCTCATACCATAGGTGTAAATAGTATTGTCATATTATCATTTAGACCTACTATATAGTAATTTCCCGTACCATTTCCACTGGTAATGAGACGGTATAATGGTAATTGTGACATTTATAATATAGTGCCCCACCCTACTTGTAACTACAATGTTTCGTGGAAATGTGACAATCATGTCGACAAATTGAGATTTCGTGCAAATAAGAACAAAACCTTTTAAAACTTTTTAATTAAAGATATTACTATTTTCTTAATTAATTAAGGGCTTAATTTGATAAATCATTGATTAATTATTAACAATTTTTTGTTTTAGTTTCAATATTTTATTCTATTCCAAAGTTATCTTAGTATATCAATTTAATCTACTTGAAACAATTGTATTAATTAGATTGTGAGAAGTTCATGTGATTGCTTATGTGGTGTCATGTAAATGGTCACATTAGCCACACGCGACCTAAAAGTAGAGGGAAACTTCTTGCCTTTTTGTTTCCTTAACCTAATTAACGATAAAATATTAAGTTATAATCTAATTTAATCAAAACAAAAATTTTATTAAAATAATAAAAATAAAATTATTCTTGCTATGTGTTGCTTACGTGGCACCATGTAAGCAATAATGTGGATTTTTGTCAATTTTACTAACATGACTGTTGTAAATAGATGAAATCAATACAATTTTGAAAGTTAATAGATAACTTTGAAAGAAAAGATTCTACATTAAAAAAAAAAAAAAAAAGAGTCAATAGTTAATAGATGATTTATTAAATTAAACCATTAATTAAGGGTTACACATTTATGAAGTTTTTAATTATGGATATGACATTTACAATTTTACTAATTAAGGCTATTGCCCTTCAAAAGTTTATAATTAAGTATATGACTATGCACATCTGCTTAAAATCACAAAAATCATATCCTTAATCAAAACTTTTGGAAGATAATAGTCTTAATTAGTATGGAAAAAAGTCATATCCCTAATTTGAAAAGTTTTGAATAGTTTTGTCCTTATTTGTATGAAATCTCCATACCCTGCTATTACCAAATGCTTGAGAGATCTTTCAAGTGGAATTTGCTAAAAGATTTCATTTGATAGTTGGGCTGGGGCTGGGGTTGTAGTTGTAGGTTTTTACAAGACAACTCTATTTGTATCCTGAGATTTGGTAGAATTAATGGCAACTTTTTAAAAATTTTCTAATTAAGAATATAACTTTTTTCTTTATTAGTCAAGATTACCCATATTCAAAAGTTTCTACTAATCTAGTATATGACCTTGATTAGAAATTTTTGAAATGTAGTAGCCTTAATTAATAAGAAAAAAAAGATTATATCCTTAATTAAAAAATTTTTAAAAGGTTATATCCTTATTTGTACCAAATTTACAAAGCACTCATCATCGAATTGGTTTCTTTCTTTCTTGGTCCTTCTAGGATCTTTTGACCTGAAATTTGTGCAAAGAACAAATAAAAATGAATGTGATTTTTTCTTGTATCTATGACTATTCTGGAGTTTGAACTAACAATGGTTTATTACAAGCACTATTGAATTGTAGAATCAAAATGTTCGAGGTTTTATGTTTCTTGTGGATATGACTCAAGAAATTGACTCAAGAAATTGACTCAAGGTGATGGAGTACCTTTTCAAGACCTAAACATTCAATTATTCTTATTATTCTTTGTGTTTTATGCTTCTTGTTGATTATTGTTTAGTTTAAATTATATAAATGGTTAGCAATGAAACCAGTGATTCTGCAAGATTAAGAGCTTCTCATACTCAAAATAAAGAGAAGAAATTAGAAAATGAACAGTAAAAACAGATGAAATAGTATGCACAATGTGATATAATTATTTAGCTGGAAGGAGGAGGATGTGACTTTTTTTATATTTAAATTTATCTTTGAATTTTCTAAAGTTATAATAGCCCAACAACTTATAAAATTTCTATTAGTTTTTTTTTTTTAATTTTCTATTCGAGCTAATATTTTGAAAATTTTAAAAATTCTCCATAAACTTGCCAAAAAATGGTAAATATTTTTCATATAAAGTTTTTCAAAGTGTTCAATACATTAGAATATAATTTTTGAAATTAGAAAATATTTTCTAAAATGAAGTCATTTTTTTCAATATATATTGGTATTTATCAGTTGGCTCTATATAAAAAAAAAAATTAGATGGAAAAACACTCAAAATTATGTTGTCTCATTAAAACATCACAATCAGCAAGAAAAATAAATTAAAGCACTATATAAAAAAAAAAAGACTAAAACAATGATAATTCTATTTTAAAAATTAGGTATTTTAGGTTATGTTTGTAATTGTTGTGAAGTGTTGTAATTATGAGTTTTTTAATATTTTACTATAAGAAAATTTATGGTATTCTTTGATAATTATTTTGAAAAGAGCCTTATACATTAATATGAGCATGAAATTATACAAAATATCAATTAAAATTAATTTAGTTGTGATAAATTAATAATTTTATGGGATGTTTTTTGAAAAAACATCATGGAAAAGTAACCCATAATACAACTTTATTCTTTTTAATAGGAATTAATTAAAAGGAAGTAGTTTTGAGTATTTTTTTACTTAATTTTTTTATCAATATTGTTGATAAACATTATATATATATATATCTTTCTATCTTATTATACTGTAAAAATTATTAAAATCATCAATAAATTTTGATTAAATACTCATAGATCTTTTAGAATTTTTAATAAATTCCTTTAAAATCCTCAATAAATCATGTAAAAATACTCACAAAATCTCAAATAAATACCCAATAAATCTTTCTTAAAGAAAACTTCAAAGTTTAAAATCCAAGTAATTCTAATTATATTTAAATTCTTATTAAATATAAAACCTGGAAATATTAAAATCCTATACCAATCAAATTCTTATCACGTGTAGGAGTATTAAGCCTTAACACACACCACTTACACGGGGTGCCCCAAGAAAAGAATGCCACTCATATACTTCGGACTCTTTTAAGTGAATGGCACTGCAACCCAGGGCATGAGTAGCCTTTTCCAGCTCAGATTGCAAACCTTGCATATGAATACAAAAATTTTATTGACCATTTTGGGCTCAAAAAAACAGATTCTTTGATGGATTACCCAAGGTTTTAATTATTATTACGTATTTATAAAATTTTTATTAAATTAAATAAATATGTCAAACAAATACCTTCAAATTCAATTTCATGACATGTAGTGACTCATAAAAACAATTATTACACTTTTTTTTTTTTCTGCGAAAGTTAGTACGCTTAATTTGATAAAAACAGAAATAAGTAGTGATTTAAGTCCTAATATACACATAACAAGGGGGAGAGAGAGAGAAATTGGGGTAAAAATGGTATATAATAATAGAGTTAGGATCTATTTACATACAAGTCTTATACACTACCACTTCCATAAAATCTTGATCATTCAACTTTTCATTTTTAATAGTTGAGATTTATTTATTGATTATTATATTTATTAAAAACAATTATTTGTTCATTGAAAAAGTTGTGACAAAATTTCAACCATTAAAAATTGAGAGATGAATTATTAAAATTTTGTATAAGTGTGATATGTAAGATTTGTATGTAAGTGAATTTTTGCTCTAATAATAAATAAAGATGTAAGGAATGAATAAGAAAGAATGATATTGAGGGGATAAAGATAAGAAGAGAATGATTAATGGCAAACAAACTACTAATATATAGAGAAAAAATAAGGGTGAATGTGTAGTGAATAGATAAATATAATGATGAAATGTTAGAAAATAAGTTAAGAGGAGGAGTAAAAAAAAGGTGAAAGGGTTTTATTAGTCCATGTACTTTTTAAGTTGAAATCCATCCCTCAACTTTTTTTTAAAAATTGTTTAACGTTTAAACTTTAATATTAAAGTAAATCAACCCAAAGTTAACAAATGATGTCATACCACATCACATTTATGTGAAATCTATTTCAAGTTTGTTATGTCATAAAATAAATTAATTTACATACTTTTTGAGTTACTTGAAATCCACCCCTCTACATTTAAAAAAAAAAAAAAAATTTCAACTCATGTACATTTTATGTTGAAATAAATCAATCCATGCACTTTCCTATTAAAATAAATCAGCCCAAGTTTAATAAATAACATCATGCTATGTCACATTTTTGTAAAATCCATTTTAGACTTGTTATATCTTGATAATTTGGCACGTGTGGGTCCCTTTTTTGTGTGATGAATTATTTTTAATCTAGTTGGATTATATGTTGATGACATGATAATAAAAATATATTGTTTTAATCTGTTTGTTCAATGATAAAAATATCCTTCTATTCTCATTCATGATCATTTTTTGGGACCTAGGGTTTGATTTAGCCATCCATGTTGCTATTTTCGCAAGCCCTAAATCTCCTCCCTTAAAATCTTGAGAACTAAGTACCATTATATCTAGTGAAAGTCCCACTAAGGCTTTAAATTATGCCATTTGGGATGCCAAATCCTTTAAAAGGTGCCAAGTTGAAGCCTAACCCAACTTAGATCTCATTATGAGATTACACATACTCACCATAATTTATTACAGCTTGAGGAGGTTTGATGAGGCTATGCTAATTTTGAAACAAGTAATTCAAGTACCTAATATTACTTAAAACAGATGTTTAGTTAAAATGATTGTGAATGAGAAGAAGAAGATGTCATTAGAAAAGTATAGCCAAACTTTAAACCCAAGTCCCAAATTTTAAATTTAAAAATAGAGGAAAGAAGGATATTTTTGCCATTAAATAAAGAGATTAAACGAATGCATTTTTATTGCTATCAACATATGTCCAATTTGGATTAAAAATAATCCATATCACAAAAAATTAGACCCACACATGCCAAATTATCAAGACATGATATGTTTGAAATGAATTTTATAAAAGTTTGGGTTCATTTATTTCAATTAAAAATTATGTGGTTTAAAAATTTTCAAAAAAAAGTAGAGGGAGATTGATTTATTTCAAGACATAATGAACTTGAAATGGATTTTACGAATATGTGACGTGGCATGATATCATCTATTTTGGGTTAATTTATTTTAATTGAAAAGTATGTAAATTGATTTATTTCAATATTAAAGTCTGGTGGTTAAAATATTTCAAAAAAAAATTGAGGAGTGGATTTCAAATAACTCGAAAAGTACATGAACTAATATACTCTTTTTACCGTAAAAAAATAAAAAAGTATATGTAAGTATCAAGAGGAAAAACTAATGTAAAAAATGTTTTTTTTTTTTTTGATAAATAAACATTTAAAAGAATGTCTAAAAGAAACAATAGAGAAAAGGGGATAACAAAAAAAAGAAGAAAAGAGGAAAATAGTACAGGTTTTTTTATCTTATAGTGGTTAAGACTTATAATGTAAATATGTGTATAAATTTATTATATATATTACTAAATTATTTGTAATTTTAAGATTTTTATATGTTTTTATAATATTGAGAAAATATAAAACACCTAATAATAAATAGAACAAGGAAAATTAGGTAACAAGATATATAATGATAAATAAATTGCAAATAGTGACTATAGAAGATTAATAGAGAGTGGACCGCGAAGGAGAAAGGAATAATAACAAATAAATTGTCAATATAGAAAAGGAAAGTGAGGGTGGATATAGTTTATACTTTATAGTAATAAATATAGTGAGAAAATATGAGAAGGTAAGTTAAGAGATGATGCCATAAGAAAAAATAATGAGATGTGCAATTGGTGACAAAAATAAGAATATGGTTAAAACCCCATTTTGGTCCCTGAACTATTGTACGGACCCTCGATTTGGTTCTTAAACTAAAAAAATCCCTGATTTGGTCTTTACTGTTTACCATTTTAACCTCGATTTGATCCTTCCGTTAAATATTCGCCTACGTGTCTTGTTACTTGACGGAGAAAAGGATGACATGTTAAAACATTTTGACACATAAGATGTACAACGTGGCAAAAAAATGAGATGGCAAGAAATTACCTTAAAAAATTTTTTTTTCTTTTTTTTTTTTCTTTCTTTGTTTTTCTTTTTTCCCTTTCTTCTTCCTCTCCCTTTCCTTTCACCTTCTGCAAACCCTAACATTTCCTAATATTAAATTCGAGAATAACACAATAAACCAATAGATAGAAATCAATACATCCTTCGATC